GTAGCAGTTGAATTATCATTATCTCTCATTGCATACGCCGGTTGACTCATATTAGCATAATATACTACACAACCAGTTGAGTAGTTATTAGCAATCATAACCTCGTCAGTAAAATAGCATATAATAGATCCATTAGTATAATTGACATCTTTCAATGGATTCATATCTGTTAAAAATTAATTTTAAATGTTATTCTAAAAACAATATTCATGAACTTTGGTGTCATTCATTAATACATTTGACAATTAGGAACATACCTATAAACATTTCTTTCCCATCATTACTCCCAACTTCATTTTTAAGAATTATTTTAGACTCAAAGCTGATACAAGGTGGCAATTTTAAAGTTGTAACACCATAACAAGTATCTGCTGTATTAAGTATTAGTGGTGCAGCACTGAAGTATGAGAAGGTATCATTCTTCAAAATAAGAACAACTCCATTTGTTCTGCCAGGACAATCACAATCTGTTAACTATAAATCATTTAGTTTTAAAATAATAAATTAATGTATATCTATAGTCAAACTCACATTAAACTTGACAAGTACATCTATTACAACAGATTTGTTTTTCCTCATCATCAAGGTATAGTTTGAATTACCAATCATTGGAGGAGCTACAATAATAGCAGCTATAATTAATGAAAAATAATTGTCATGACTCACTTGCTATTGATATATTCCATTGTTTAGTGGTACCATTAAGTGCCTGATCAGTCGTTTTAATAAAAGGTTTTATAAAGATACTAGCAAACTGACATTCATCCATTTCCAATGTAGGAAGTACTATATTAGTATCACTCGTTGTATGAACAGTTTCATTAAAAGTGATATCGTAATAGACGCCTAATCCTTGATAAGCAAAAACAGGACTCCAGCTAATGTTAAGTGTTGAATTATCTCCTAACCTCACTACCAAATTACCAGTCACTGATGCAAGAGTTTCTATTATATTAAACAATGCATGTAGATGTAAAGCATCAATTATACAAAGTTGAAACATAATTACCTTGAACTTGTAAAAGTAAGGTAGTTGAATAAACACGTGTATGATTTTGATCACTTTTGTAGCCAACACACTTTAGATCTAAGAAATTTTCTTTAATGCTCATGTAACCAGAGCAATTTGAAAAATTGGGTTGATATGATGAACACCATGTTTCAGAAAAATTTCCGCCTTCTTTTCCGTTTTCATACACGGACATCTTGAAGTAGCTGCAGTTATCATTTGCGTAGCATATGAAGTTAAAATAGTCACCAAGCAAAAATGATCTTGTTCCATTAGGTTCTATTGTAATTTCTAGATGTGTGTGAAACAATACCCATGAGTCAGTCATAAAAGTTTGTCAGAACTGAACTAACCACAAGACCATGCGTAGTGAAATGATTCCAAAACCAAAAAAAGCCAGAAAATTAGATCAATCATAATACTTTTCTTCATCTCCTACATAGGCAACATGCTATTTTACTACATAAAAGAGAAAGGCAAAAGAGAGAAAGAGGACAAAGATGCACAAGGACAGGAGTCAAGGAACACAAACATAAGAAGACAGAAATATGCAGTACCTATTAACAATAGATACATGTATTGGGAAAGAAAGAACTGTTTATTATAAGCATAACATTGCAAATAATACTTAGAGTCAGGGTTCCTCACAAGGTTTTGGCATAGTGCTCATAAAGCTTTTTGTCAATGGATCGTCAAGTTGCCCAAAATTTTATCAAAAATGATAAGGAGAGAACTCTTTGATTTTATTATGTTTTTGATGCATATACATGTACTTATGTTGTATAGAAAATTTGAGCCAATTTAGACAATTTTAAAAGTTGCTCAAAAATTGAGCAAAACACCCTGTGTATAGTGCAGCAACATTCACCAAATTTCATCAAAAATACAAAGAGGGAATTTTATCAATTTTACAATGTTTTGTGATACACATACATGTACTTATGTTGCGTAGAAATTTTGAGCTGATTCCAATCAAAGTTAAATTTTTAAATAAATTTTTGAAGTTGTTGCAAATGTCATGTAGCTCATGCTGTTTAGCTCACTTAGCATGCTTTGTGGGGAACCCTGTTTAGACTACATGATTAACACGGAGTGTGGAACCTCAAGGACATACGTGTATTGTATATCAAGCCTGAGACCATTCATGTACATGCAAAAAACTTCACCTTGTTTACAATTATAATTACTACCATACATGTAGGCAAGACACTTTGGGAATACAATTGTAATGAAGCACTATGGTGCAATGGACTTGCCTGCTGGAATTCCCCTGAGTGATATGTAGTACTTGTACTGTGATATTTTAAGCAACTTGATAAAAATTATTATTGACTGCATAGTTATAATGATAATTAAAATAAGCTATGGGTGTGGTCAAAAACTAGCTAAATCATGGCACATGGGTAGGAGAAAGAAGAAAAGCTGAAAATTATTTTAGCATCTGAAGCTCTATTCCAAGAAAGAGTTGGCACAGAAAATTTTTCTAGATATTTAAAAGAGACTGAGAGAGTTTGGTTGCTCCTGCTTTCCCCAGTGCTGCCTAAAAAATTCTCAAAGAGGCTAAATCACAAACTTTGAGCAACTGTAATTCACAAACAACAAAGTTAGGATAAAATCGTTCTTTTTCTTTTTGTTAGATGGAATTTTCTACCTCTGAAGCAAATCTCAGCCCTGTAGAGTGAAACACGAGCTCTCACTTGGAGAGAGGTCCCCTGGTTTAGCAGTTCACAGCTTTTGGTGCCACGGGATGCTACAAGAGCATAACTAGATGAAAGAAAGCAACTTTATCTGTTGCTAGAAGAAGAAATAGAGCTCTAGACTGCTCAGACAAAAAGATAATTTTTTTACAAATCAATTAAACTGTGTGGACAGAATGACAACCCAACTGCTTAGTACCCGCCTATGCAAGCGTGGCGAGTCCAATAACATTTCCATGCTCTGCTAATTGACATGCAATACAAAAACTTAAACTATCACAACATCGTAAAAACAAACTTACATTTTTCAAGTTTTACTACTCAATGAACACTGGCAAGGCCTAAATATTTTTTCTGCAAAGGTACAAGATTATAGGCAAAGCTATACTGATACAGGTACACTACAGTTACACTGTATGAGACCCAAGCATTATCACAATTACTGTACTGGGGTCAAAACAATAAGATGTTTGCCAGGGATCTCTGGCAATTCATGCCGCAATGGGTTTGATGATTCAATAATTAATGCAATTAATTCATAAATACAATTAAACAATTATCTACGTGTACATTACTATTATTTGCATCACCACAAAATGAAAGTGCCAATGGTATGAACCCCAATGTCAGGCAATTTCTTTGATCATTATGCAATGACAGACACTATGCAGCTAAAGGGTAATATCTACTTACCTATGACTGAGCTGCCTAATGCAAAGACGATGACAGGAGCCTGTGAGCTGTGTGAGTGTTACTATATCAGACCTATTTTCTTTAAAGTCTAACCATAGATACTATATACCCCTGGATATGAAACACGGCCTGACCGGATGTTCTGAGGCTTGTTTCACCGGAAATACGTCATATTGCGTTTTTCATTCAGAATAAAAATAAAACAATGATAAAAAGTATTATTATTGCTAATAAGTGTGATTTTATGTACAATAATACAATAAAACTTGACATTTATCATGCAATATAATTGCTGAAACTTTCCTTTTCTTTTAGTATATGCAGTCTACCGATGCATGACTTTCCCATCTCTTGTCACCTAAAAATGATGATTTTGACAACACAATTGCACCAAAACTAAAAATACTCTCCTTTTGAGAACTATTTATAGGCCCACTACAACTACCTATTCTCAAGCTACAAAACCATATAGAAAAAGTTCCAATTAAGTCAAGTATTACAAAGAAAAATTGGCTAGAAAGGTGGGGCTTGAAAAACCAAGATTTAGAAAATAACAGCTCTTTTACTTAACACAAACTCTAAATAATAGCCCCACTACAACTAGTAAACAATAACCTATCAGTACAATAAAAATGTTGGCCTAATTCAACAGAGTTAAGCTAAAAAAAGTGGCTTGAGTGAAATGTACACAACAAGTAGGCTATGACATCCATTGTAGAATTAAAATATGCACCGCTCAAACTATCGTTTATGAGCATTATAAAGGCTTTGCAAAGTCCTCAGTCTGAGGCCCGGGATCATTCAGCTACTTTAACAAACGAATAGGCTACTGTGATTGTTTTACTTACCCTGGCACCATGAATGCAGCGAAACACGGGTGAGGACAGCCGGATGTGATGTTTATGACGTTTCCTTATGGGATTTTATATGTGTGCATAAAGGAGTTTCATATCCAGGGGTATATAGTATCTAACCCACTAAAAACTATGAAGTTAATTAGGCAAAAACGACCGTATACGGAGGTATACTAATTAGATGGTGCCGGTAAGCCCTGCTGACACCCTAAATTAATAAAAATGCTAATAGTAAAATTATGATTGTAAATAATTGGTGGAACAAATAAATAATACTGGTAATAGTAATTTGCTGAATAATAATAAAAATTAAAAGTATATAACGGGTATAATAATTATAAGAGACATGAGGAATGAATATATGATAATAATTAGATAATAATAACAGATAAAGTAAAAAACAAACAAACAAACACTGGTTCCTAGGCCATGATTCACTTTGCCATCCACGTTGAACTGATTTACGCCATGCACCGTGGCAGCAAGTCTTGATCTCTTGATGTCTATTTTTTCAAGCTCTTGATGCCTTGATTTTCATTTTGATCCCAGATTCCTGGTCACAGGTGAAACTGTCAAACTGAAACCACAAACCACAGATGCGTAGGAAAGGGGGGACAGGCTAAGGGTGGCTGAAGCCACCCCCCCAAGTTTCAGCAGGAAGGGGCTTA